AAATTACACTTACCATTGTCTTATGGAGCCTTCGGGAACTCAAGGAAGGCTGGTTGTAGAAGCATGTGGTCCCTCAAACTTCTCACCTTCTCCCTCTGCGAGTAGGTTTGCAGGGTCTAAAGTCCACGGAGGCCAAGTCAGTAGGGATCAGCAGCATCAGGGGACAGGAACTCACCCATGTAATTCTCTACACTTCTCCACCTCCCACTCGCAAAGCACTCCCATAACGGATCGCAAGCCTAAGAGACTTAGGCTTGTGGTGACTGACGGTACAGTGGATCTGGACCTTCAATATGCTGATTAATAACGACCAATTGTCGTTAATATGCTGAGACTTTATTTATTTAAACAACTTCAATGTAAGATGTTTTTTTGTTTTTATTACACTGAAAACTAAATTTACGAATTTATGTAAAATGTCCTGTTCTTAGCATCAAAACAGAGTTTTCTTGAAATATTTAAAGACATATTTTTTATTAGCACACTTGCCTAATTATTTGTATGCTACATGATGAATTTTGTTTAGTACGTTATTATAGAAGATAATATTTTCATGCTAGTGGTTTCTGTATTAAAACAGAGGAAAATAGATATTCTGTTGGTCCTGTAGTACATAAGACTTGCCACATGATGAGGATGTTGTTCTCCGCAATGTGGAAATTCTCTCTATTTCCTCCTAGCCTTTTCAGTTCAGAGTTGGCAGTCTAGATTGCAGTTGTTAAAAGAACATGCGACCGGTCATATGCGAGAAAAATAAGCTTGGCTGGCAACTTGCACAGCTTAGTGGGTTAGCACATGAAGGACCAGAGCAAGGATCATGTGCTTTTAATTTAGGGTTTAAATGCCCATCTGGCAAGTTGAATAAGAGTGTGCACCACTGACTGCACAAATATTTGTGCAACATATGACAAACATACTTTGAGCAGCTCTCAGGTGTCCTGTATTTGGTTTAGGGGATTCCTGCATGTCATAAAAGAACCGTAGCAGCTGCTACATTAAATGCATACAAATCACAGAAATTTCAGCATCTTTACCAACTGTGATGTCATTTATTTGAATAGCATCCCATCTTTTCCACACAAATCACACACACTTTTCAAGCACAAATGTGTGTTGGCATTGGATGCCCTTTTTTTTTTTTTTTTTAAACACCAAGCATTTGTCTATATTAGATTCATGGGGTTTTGTATCATATTGGGTATTGCTTTGGTACTTTGGGCCAATGCATAATTAATTAGTTACCATTTGTATTACTCTAGAGAGATGTTTAGTGCCCTTTGGAGCTGATCCTTAATCAGACTCACTTAACATTTATAGAATATTGTTACTATAATGTACTGTAGTCCTGTAGGTCACCAAGACACAAAGCCTGACATAATCTCCGAACGTATATTGTGTGTGTGTGTTTTTTTTATATCCTCCCCAGTACATGTCAGATATGGAATGCGTTTGTTGGTTTCTTCTCATTTTTAACAGGTGCAGACCTGAGAGAGCACTGGGCTGTCCTACATGTTTATGACGTAGTTGTGTTAAGCCTTGCCTTGGTCTATAAAAAGCCAGTGTATTAATTATATTTATTTTAATATGTTCTTAACATGGTGCTTCAATATAACTTAATTTTTTGATTGTACTGAACTTAATGTATATTACAGTTTTTTTAATATCTACAATTCAGATGTCTTTTTTCCGGTATGTCTTGTATGGCCATCCTGTTTGTTACTTAGGACATTTGAGATAAATTTTAAATTGTAATGTTCATCTGTAAAATTGTAAAAAATGAAATTAATGCAATTAAAATTAAATGATTTTAAATGAATGTTCATGGTATTTTAGCATGCTGAAATATAACATCTGTCTTGTCTATCTATCCTTGAAAAGAATATTTCTTTTGGAAAGGGCATTTCTTTTAAAATTCTTATTGATATATTATTAATATATTGATTAGGCCTTGATTAGTTTTATTAGGAGATGAATCTTACTGAAGAGTCTATAATGATGATATGATATAGCACTTTATTGTCAGACGAGTCTGAAATGTTTCTTGCATGACAGTATCTATGTTTACAACAGTCAACATCCTTTAAACAACATGCACTTCATCCACACAAGAACAAAACACATTATACATTACACACCCTTAAACATTACATTATACCTTACCCTCCTACTACTCTTATACAACTACACCATGTTCACAATACTCTTGATTTTTGATTAAGTGCCTTATTCAACTTTAGGATCGGCTGATGCACAAAAGAGTGTTTCAGCCTAACTTTGTTGAATCTTGGGGCTCAGAAACTATATTATTAGCCAGTCTTAACAAATTATTATAATAAGCTGAATCATATAGCTTCTCAATACATAATTATGTATTTCCTTTTTTGATGAAGCTGATGAAGCCATTTAAGCTTCATGCGTGTTCTCAAAGAGCACTGCGAGGTATTTCTTCAAGGTTACGGGTCTTGTTGGTATTTTCTGATTTGGCCTAATTGCTGCAAAGACTATATAAATGATTAGCCATATAAGGGAACATAAAATTAATATGAATATCATCTACTCTCAAACACATACAAATGCAAAAGCGTTATGTATATGTTTGCACATTTGAGGTGTTCCACCCGCAATGCATCTTTATCTTAAGCACTAAAACTGTCTTTATCAGTCACTGCAGCTCATTCAAATTTAACCTGTCACTAAGCCTCTTTTTGTTCACTAAGCCTCTTTTTGTTTCCTCCCTTCTTTTTTTTATCTTATTCTGTTTGTTTGCACTGTCTTTACGTGCATTTTTTTAAATATGCACTTTATTTTTCTGCTTTCCTAATAGCTTACATCTCAATGTTGTGATGTTTTTCCTCCAAGCTATTTGGCTGTCTACATTCCAGTTTTGCTTTTTACCTTTGACTCTTATCTTTGGCCTTTCTTAAAAACAGGACCTTATTTGTTTATTCATTTCTATACATAGTTTCACCCAGCTGCCTCTGTTACAGTACTTCTGGTTCTTCCTCATCCCTCAATCCTTCTTTCAACCCTTTGTCCACTTCCTTTCTGATTCTTAGTGCCTGTTCATCCCCTTTCCCCATTCATGACCCATTTTCTCTTCTCTCAACAGTGAGCAGAGGGTTAACTCTGAAGCCAAGTGGAACAGCTTTTTTCATAAGGAGGACACAGGCAGCAAGGCAGTGGATAGAAAGTGAGGCGGAGAAAGCCTGAACCTTTGAGGCACTGCAGAAAACACTGTAGGACCCCAAAACATCGCTGTATCACTTTGACTTCCTTTGCGCAGACTTAACAATTCTTAAACCCGGTCTCCAGTTAACTGTTAAAGCAGGTGACAAAAGACCTCAAAATGCAATTCAAGCTGTCGACTCAGATCTGGTGACCCAAGGTTTTGCTTCTTTTGAAGACAGTGCCTTTCTCACTGGCAGATATTACAGACGGATTTATGCCACAAAAGAGATGTACAGTAGCATCCTCCATTTTATAGTGCTTCAGTGTGAGACAGGCACTAGCCCGTTTGATTCATCTGTGCTTTCTTCTCTTTTTTAATTATTCAGCAATCCTTTCCTACACCCAACCATCCTTCCTCCCTCCCTCCCACCTTCCTGTACACTAATGTTACTAAACATTTACAGTTTAAAATGGAAAAATTAACCTTTCCATCTGTTCCATCGTGGTAACGCCAATCCTTATCTCTCCATCCCTGTTTCATACTTGTTCTGGCAAATGAAAATGAAATCTTTAAAATAGAGCCATTAAAAGATGTTTCTTAATTATGTGATTTATATTTTGAAATGAATCAATGATCAGAATCATATTCCTTTATTTAAAGGGGTCATAGGATGCCCATTTTCCACAAGTTGATATGATTCTTTAGGGTCTTAATGAAAAGTCTGTAACATAGTTTGGTTAAAATTTCTCAATGGTAGTGTAAAAAACACCTTTTTTACCCTGTCAAAAACAGCTCTTTTCAGATCAAGCCGTTTTTGTAGCATTTTCCTTTAAATGTTAATGAGCTACGCTGCCCCCGCCCCTCTCTTCCGAGCCGCTCTCTGAGGGACTGTTTACTTTAGCTGCATTCACCGTGAAACTTGCTAATTAGCACAGGGAAAACATTTAACCAGATAAAAAAAAAAACACTGGGTGGATTTTTATCATTATAGGGTGGTTGTGTACACACTGCCAACACACATTTCAGTTCAAACAACTTGTAAAAGTGTATGTAGCATCCTATGACCCCTTTAAGAGGTCCGATCATTTAAGTATTTTCTGCTAGGAGGCTTTATTTGATGTTTTTTCCCCCCTCCGTTTTTTTCCTCTGTCTACTTTTAAGATCGTAGTGCTGCAGTTCAACATTCAGTTTCAACAACCTCTCCAGAATATTACATGATGTTTCTGACTGTAAATGTACTAAAAGTATAACATCAGCTCTAAATGAAGAACCAGGGACCTCCCTAAGAGAGCCGTGCATATGGCGCTATTTACAGAGACCTGGAGCAGCCTGAAAACTTGTTGTCATATCCACAGAGGGTGGAAATGGATGGATAATAGATTGGGACAGTAGAGAGGAGGAGGCACTTTCACCCCTTTAGATTTGAAACAGGCGTCTGTAGAGATTGAAATCGATCCAGAAGTGAATGATGAATTCTTTCCATAACTGGACGTTCAAGTTCCACAATGTCTCAATGCTAATTTAGCAGAAAATTGTATATTGAATTACCTGCCTTGTGACATTAAGGTATTTGTAAGCTGTCTCAATCAGTGTCTTTTGCCATTGGTTTTGAGCATGTCTGCTGGAGATAGTATTATCAAAGACAGTTAGCATTAATATAATATGTAAACACAATTATATTAACCAAAGCCTTTTTGGATGTGGTTTGGAAGTGATTTTAATTTTAGTGTTTTTTTATTTAAGAGCTTGGATGTGACAGACTAAGATGGTAAATTCACTGGTGTACAACAACTACACTTAATTCTCAGAAACAGTTGTGTGATGAAGGAAAAGGGAGACAAGGAAGTGCTATGAATCTCAACGAAAAAAATGGGTTGAAAGAATCTGCTCGTAGAGAGATAATGGATGAGTAAGGAAAGATGTATGGAGGCGTTTCAGAGACACAGCACCTAGTGCTATAAAGCAAAGTAAATGGTAGAAGTGATGAAAGCTTGATAACGACAGTGGATGAAAATGGTGAGGGATGGAAGCAAGGAAGTTAAAAGCACGACTGGTTTAATGTTGAAGGAAGAACCATAAAGTGATTCCTGAGAAATATTTGCCCTTGTAGCAGGAGACATGAAAGGAAGTGATGGAGCTATGAAGGCAAGACTTTTCAGTGGAGAAATGTTTTTGACAATAGCAGGTGCAGAAATGACTGTCATATGTATAATGCATTACTGCGCCACAAATCTTAGAGCAGCATTGTCACTGAGTATTGTTGAGGTACTCTTCTGGTCAGATTTGTTGTGTATATTCACCAGTTTTTTTATTTTTTTTAAATTGCTGCATAGTTGTCCATTTCAACCAATTTTATAATCTGTCTTGTATCACACATTGATTTTCAGTCATGCATGGATCCATGATCGTCTCACATGCTATAAATTAGATCTCTAATGCACACATAATCATAAATCTTCACAGGTAACAACACAAATTCTATACTGAGCACAAGCTGAACATGGAGCCAGCCAGTCACACGCACATGTAAACTTGATATTGACATCAGGATTGGACAAAACTCAGAACCGAAAAATTGGCCCCATTTCAAGTGATGAGTTGGAATTTGAATTGAATTAACTTCATCCTATAGGAAACGGAACTGGAATGTTATGAAGCTGATTTTCAATTCAGAGAAATTTGTGGCATTGTGGAAAATTAAATGTTCTTCCACCCTAATCCATGTGTTTGTAAAGTTTTTAAAACCTTTGATTTTTTGCTTGTTTCACTTATTGACGTTATATTAAATTAATTCATTACATTTATTTTAATTTATTAGTAGGGAACCAGCACTTTTTTAAAGAAATTAAGATTTTTATTATTGAAAATCTATAATACTTAAAATTAAATACTGAAATATGTATAATAAATTATGTATTTTCACCCTTTCTTGAGCACCTGTTGTATTCTTAAATGTATTTTCTCTTAATTTATTTCTACTTTCTACTCGTAAATTAAAATATGCCTTTCAATTCAAGTTCCTATTTGCTCACCTTTATTCTAGAAATTCTAGTTCAATTCGCATTCAGGAACAGAATTTGGGATTTAAAAAGCATTCTCAATTCAGTTCTGAATGCCAAACAAAATTCACTGATATCCTTGGGTGATATCCTAATTTGGGTGAGGCGATCATATTCAATCCAAACAATGGTAATTACAGAAAATGTTTCAGACAGAATCACGTTGCGTTTGTAGTGTAAATGCTGATCCATCCTTTTGCGCCTTTGGCATCACCAACTTTTTTCTTTTCTTTTTTCCTCCTTTTCTTGCCTTTTATCAACATGCAGTGCACTTAGTACCATGTACTCGACTGACGTACCAAGTAATATATGTATTCAGAGACCCTTTCCTTTGAAATCCGATCTCAAGTGGTCACAGGAGACATATTTGAGATGTTGCTACCTGATCCATGATTGATTCTGCTACAGTGTGGTGTGTGTAGGGGTCTATTAAATAGCAAGTGATATAGTTTTGTGGAGCCTGTGGCAGACTTAATGTAAAATACATTGATACTCTTTTTATCTATTTACACACCTATTTAACTAAAGGTTCCATATTGGTACCTTAAAGTCAAGTCACCTTTATTTATATAGCACTTTATACAATACAGATTGTGTTAAAGCAGCTTTACAGTGTTAAACAGGGAAAACGTGTGCTGATAATGCAAGAGCACAATAGAAAACAGTTCAGTTCCGTTCTCTTCCAATAGTGTCTATGCAGTCAAGTCAACAATGTTGACAGAAATTACGTCCCCAACTAAGCAAGCCAAAGGCGACAGTGGCAAGGAACCAAAACTCCATCAGTGACAGAAATGGAGAAAAAAAAACCTTGGGAAAAAACAGGCTCAATCGGGGGGCCAGTTCTCCTATGGCCCGACGAAACCAGCATGATGTGGTTTAATTTCAGGCTGCATTGCACGTCAGATTGAGCAGAGGACTCGTGGTCTTGTGCCGATTACCGGCAAGATCTTCGCAGGGGATCTGTCTCTAGGGTTTGTCTAGTTGACATGGTCTCCGCTGACATTCAAGGCTGCAGAGGTCGTCTATAGGTGCTGATCTTCCATCTGGACTGGATACGGACTGGATCCAGGTGGCTGCAGTGACCATCTGATCTGGATACGGACTGGATCTGGGTGGCTACGGTGACCTCGGAATAAGAATGAAACAGACTAATATTAGCGTAGATTTGAAAATTTCACGGTTTCAAAACCACTAGCATATTAAAGCAGTGTTTCAGCGCAGCACTGCTTTGTTTACAGCGGTAACCAAGGAAATGCCATATCTGGTGTTCCAGAAGCGCCTCCTGCCGTCAGAAAGTGAATCTGCGTCTCATTTAAAGCATCTGCAGTTTGCTTCGTTCAGTCATGTAGTATACTTTCACAAAGCAAGTCAGAACATTCTGTTTTTGCTTCAAATTGGGTTATTATTAAATCAAATTATGTGTATGAAATTATATAACTAAATGATATGCAGTG